GCTGAAAGGAATGTCCTTGAGCATATAATGAAATTTTGACAGTGTTTAACCAGGCCAAGAGCAAAAATCTTTTCCTTTGATGCAGAATGATCCACAAATAGTATTGAGGCCCTGGAGGTCAGAGCTAAGCTAGTTGCCATTTTGGTGGAGTTTTTGAGCTTTGCTCTGTTTATGCACTTTGTTTATTAAGAGTTTAAATTCATATTGCAAAGATACCTATCACTTTCTCCATCTGGTAGACAAGATGAAATTTTTTTTGCAGTTCACAATGTGGGTAGCAGGAGACTTGGGGGTAAAATTGAAATTTCTGACTTCCATTTTTACATGGAGTAGGAGTACATAGTTGTTTATCCAATTTATTTTGTGGATATGCTTTCGTTAAGTTTTTAGGGGGTTGGTTTTTCAATTTACCATTCTAAGAAAATGCAGTAATTGCTCTGTCCAGTGAGATTTTTTTGATGCTCCTCATGCTTATGCAGTAGCTGGTTGCTTTGAAGTCCTATTTCTACAGCTCTACTGGTACTGTATACAGTGTACAACCCTTAAAGACACCAGACTTAATAGTTGTATTGTTTGGAGTATGCACTGAAGAGTGTTTTCAGCCAGTGCTGTGCATGATAACACTGAAATGTTAACTCTTCTGCCATAATGCTTATGAATTGAGGAAAGAATCATGCTAAAGACAAAAGATATTTATTGGTTGTAATTAAATAGCACATAATCTTGTCAAACACATGCATATTGTTAGGAAATTTCTGATGAATAATGAAATACAAAAGTACTTTAGGAAAAATACCTTGCACAGAACCTATGGTTCTTTAACATCCTGTCGTATATACATTATAAAAATTGCAAACTACTGCAGCATGAGCCTTTGTGTCTGATTCATGACTTTACAATTACACTTTTTTTCCAGAAATACTGCCTTGATGCTGTTACTTGTGCAGTAGCTTTCCTCCTCTGCCTGATAATCCTGGAAGGGATTTTCTTGTTTTTAAAATGGTTATTTGCTCTAGTACATGCAGAGGAGCAGAATGAGTCAGTTGGAATAGTTTGGTGATTTTGAAAGTACAAAGAAATCCTAAAACTTTCATCCTGTATGATAACAAAAGGCAGGTTTATGACCATGTAATCTTTTTAGCTGTCTGAGCAGGACAGGGTATGTCAGAAGAAAAAAGAAAAGCTTTGTCTTGTATATGTGCCATTTTGTTCTTTAAAAGAGATACCATAATTCTGAAATAAGTGCATTTGTTGTTATGGATTTTACAAATAGTGAAATGGAATTAAATTAGAGGATCCTATAAAGTTGTCTTCTCCATTTTGATAAGTGGATGTGGCTGGATTGTGTGGGAAAAGCTCTACTGCTCACAGTCTCTTCTAAGTTAAAGCTCTGGTTAGTGAGAAACTATTTCTAATAGGAACTGCGGGAGAACTGTCTTCAAGGGCTGGTTTCCATGGAGCAGATGTGTGTGCACGAAGGACATTCATCGATACATACTTTGTGGCCAAAAAAATACATTTTCATGATTGTTGTATTCTATCAGAGGTCTCGCTGATCTTGGTCCTGGGGAAAAAGATAAGATAATAATGAAGGTCTGTATGTGTGTGTGAACGTGTGCAGATGAGTTCTGCTTTTACTCTCTTTGTTATAGATGGTGAACCAGAACCTGCTGATGGAAAAATTATGTTCAGGAAACCAGCCAAACGTTCATCAGAGAAGTTTTTGGACTTCAATGTAAGTTCAAGTAAGAAGATGAAGGAGGCAAAGAAAACTAAGGAAGCAACTACTCCTCAGAGTACAGCTAAGCAAATAAAAAATAGCAGCCTTCTCTCATTTAATGATGAAGAAAATGATGATTAGGAGTTCTGGGGTTTTTTTATATTTTACTTGCTTTACTTCTAGGGATCTGAGTAAGATTCAGTGCTTTCCTAGAAATTGAAGCATGGTATCTGAGTCTTCTGTTACTTTGTTATAGTCCAACTAGAGAAACATAGTGTAAAACTAGGAAGAGCTAAGTCTTTGCAGTTCAGATGGAACTGTATGAACAGTATGTCATGTCTTTATTTTAAAAGAGAATTTAACCATGTATTTAAAAGCTATTTGAGGTCACAAATTAATAGCAAAACATACCTGTACATATCCAGCTTATATAAATTTTCAATCAATACATTTCAAAACGTCCTCCATTACTAAAAATGTATTTCCTCTCTATTTACTGGCCTTAGCTGACAGTTGTGTGGTGTTTATCTGTTATTGTTGATTTGACATTCAAAAAAGAGAGAGAATTCATTGCTGTGGAACAGACTGAAGTTTTCTGTCTCATAGCTTAACAAAAGTTTGCACTAACTTTTGCATGTGTGGTTTGGCAGATTAGCTCTTTGCACAGCCCTTGCAGTAAGTGAGCCTGCAGTTGCAAAAATCAGGCAGTCTTAATCCTGTCTTTGGTGAATGCAGTCTAAGAAGCATCAAATTCATTTGAATTGATTGTGCTAGCAAGATATAAAAATTTTGATCGTAGTTGATGGTATCAACTAATGCAAAGAAAGATGCCTAAACCCTTGGAGATTGTGCACTTTGGTTATCACACTGGTGGGCTCAGTGGTTTGGTGGTGGTTGGTTTTCTTTTTTTTTTTGGAAGTATATTTGTTCCAGTTGGCTACATATGTGTTCATAATTATTTGGGATCTCAAACAGCTTATATAAAAAAATGTATTTCATCTTTAAGCTGTGGAAAAGCATTGTTTTGGTTTTCTTCAAGTAGGAAATTGTAAACAGGAAATTTAAGTCAAGAAATGTTATAGCTGTGATACAAAGTTTTACAATTTTTCAGTTGCCCATGTACAGTACACTGAAAGTGACAATTTCTGTACCATTTATGTAACAGGATGTGCTGAAATTGAAAATAACACTGAGAGCTGATAGAATTGGGGAGAACAAGGTGGTGGAAATGGGACTAGTGACTTTGAAATTATTTGGAAATACGGTGTGTTCTGTAACAATGTTTAAGCAAGACCTGAGACTGCTGCAGAATTACAGGGTACAAGGCAATGAAACCAGTTCTTCTGCTGCATGACAGGACATTCAAAATTATTTCGGCTTTAAAGCTTCGTTGAGGAGCAAATTTGAAGTTGCTGTGTGAAACAGCTGGTTTTAGTTTGTTAATCTGGTATTAAACAATAAATTATGTTTTCTGTAAGTGGTCCAAAGATATTTTAATGAAAATTTCAGTGCATAAAATGGGATTTTTTTGTCACCTGATACTGAAGCCTCTTATGACTGCTACCTGTCTCTGCACATACCAACTTCCTGCAGCATAAGATCAGATGCAAGTCTGCATACTATTTCACACTAATTGTGAGTGCATGTTACCCTGATTTTGAAAATGAATAGATCTGTTGTCCTTTCAGGAAATTAAAACCAGACCTATAAATGGATATTAAAGTCATGTTGTAGCGCTGGTCTGATATTAGAACTGCCAGAGAGGTGCAGTGTGACAACCTGATTATTCCCATGAGGACATGTTACATTTGTAAATACATAATTTGTCTGTATTCTGCATATATAAAAAAGAAAATCAAACGTAGGAAGAAGAAACACAGAATTGAAGCTTCCCAGGGATTAATCGTTCCATTTATTTTGTATACTTAAAACTTATTTGAACCCATTAAAAACATATATATACACCCATGAGAAATCTTGTAGCATTACCATATACTGAAGGAATATTTGGGCATATTTCAACAGCTGAGTAAATACTCTGACTTGCTGAGACTCATCTGAAAGAATGAAGTAACCATTGACTGCTTACTTAAACTTTCTGGTTCTGTTCATCAGCACAAATATATACTTGCTTACATTTTTCTTGCACAGCCTGAAAGCTCTCCACTTTAGCTGTGAGGCAGTTTAGGAGACATGGCTATCAAGAGATAAATGCTTGCCAAGGATCAGAGGGAATTTAGATTTACCTTAAAATTAGAGAGGGCCTCCCAAATATGCAGCTGATTTGGCATGTTCAAAATAAGATTGAGGTCTTGTTTGAATCTGGTTAGTAATTGCATTTAAACAAAAATTACTATTTCTAGTGAAAGACTTGAGACTGAAGTCCAGTAAAAAGAGGGTTAGCTCAAAATATTGGGTGCAGTACTTTTGCTTAATCATGCTCCTTGCCCTACAACTTCATGGCAGAAGTCTGGAATGCAAATAAATTAATTGGGTTTACTTGGAAATAGGATAATGAAAGGCATGTTGTTCTTCAGGCAACACAGCAGGGGAAAGAAAGGTGGATATGGAAATGCAGTTTCTTTCCTTTATTCTGACTGTGATTTGTAGTCCTCTGACCAGGAGGAGACCTTTGTATTCATTGTATTTCACTCCCAGTTCACCTAACAATAACTAATTGGATATATTTATTAAGAGGTGTGGGTGATGCACAGAAGCATTTTAGTCAAGTACTCATGTGAAAATTCAGTGTTCTTAATGTGACACACCAAGCAAATTACACACGCCATCAACTCCCTGTGAAACCTGTGACTAAAGAGACCAATTTCTTGTTCATTTAGGAAGGAAATGTGGAACTGTCTTAAGCAATCACCTGCCATAAGCAATGGGTCATGGAAAAATAATAATTGCGAGAACTTCCTAATAAAGGGGAAGCCAAAGTGAGCACATGGAACATGGGACTAGGGCTGGAATGGACAATTTTCCTGTTTTTTTCTTTCTTTTTCTTCCCTGCCCCCATCCCCAGTCCTTTTCCCCTCTTGTAGTGGGGAATGTATATGTATTTTTTTTTTTCTTGTGGAGTTTGCTCAGCTAAGTGCGAGAGAACTGCTGTGGAGGAGCAAGGTGGAAGTAGCTGTGGCCTGTTACTTAATATAGGAATCTTGTGCAGTTTTTATTAATACAATCTTTGAAATTTCCCAGTTCATTAAGACTCAAAAGCATTTATTGATGGTGGTGGTAGTTCTTGCTCTTCTTAGCTGAGCAGTAAGCTGGAACAAACCTGGTCACCTGTAGTAGCATTGCAGCAATGGATGCTTATAGTGGCGGCTTTTTATGTTGCAAAGGTGCTTGGATGTCATCAGGAAAGGCGAGATGCTCTATCACCTTTCTTTCCTTTGAAGAAACAGGATCTTCCTCTAAATGATAGGAATCGAGGTGAAGCATCAAGAATGCTGCATTACTGAGATAGAAATTGCAAAGACATGGGACAGAATGAGCAAGAAAATGTGCGTGTGGGCAGGTGGTCCAGGAGTTCCTACACCTAGTTATATTTCTAGTCTGTCTGATAAGGTTAATTTTTCTCAAATAAAGCCAAATTTGTTGGACTGCAAATGGTCATTTCATTGGCCTAAACAGGAAGGGATGAATCAGAATTCTATCCTGATATTTTTTGTGTCCGGCACTTTCCCAGGAAATATCATCGGAGGATCCAAGGCTGTGTTTTGCGGACACTGAACACAAGAAGCCTATATTTAGCTGTTTTAATTACACATTTTTTTAAGTTTCATCACAGGACTTCATGTCTTTTTTTACAGTGCTGCAGTATATAATCCTGTTAGGAAGCTGCAGATTTATAATGAAGCAGGAAGTAGCAATGTCATCATTTCAGCTGATTGTTTCCCTTGTGCTGTAGTGTATTAACTAAATAATGCTTCAGTTGGCTGTGTAGAGCCACTTGCATTCTCAAGGACATCAGGCATGCCTGAAGATGAGTCATTACCTTTGGTACAGCACAAGAGGTATGATATGCAGTCTCAGCAAATGTTTGTCCATTGAAGTTGGTTAATAACCTATAGCCCTCTCCCATGGCAAGATGCCATAAATCAATCCTTTGTGCACTCAGCAAACAGAACGGCTGGTGTATCAACTGCCTCTTCAGTATCATCCCTTTATTCCCATTCCTGGAGCGAGGTGTTAATCTGCAAAGAGATTTTTCATGTTGTAGACCTCCACTTCCGCCCTGCTTCCTTGAGAGCATTCCAGAGGCAGCAGTCACCAGGGCAGCCACTAAAACCAGGGCAGAAACACCACAGGGTTTTGCATGAGTGACTGCAACCTCCTGTAGACTTCCTCAAGATCTTGAGAACCTACAAAATCTCAGAGCCAGCCCCTGGGAAGTAACTTCCTCCTGGGGAAAATGAATAGGACCAGTCAGGAAAATTACACAAGATTGAATTCTACAGTGTTTATCCCACTATTGCTTCTTACTTTTTGTTGGAGGTAAAGCAACAGCTGGCAAAAGCAGTTTTTCCTCTGTCAGGAGATGTAAAGTGGCTTTGGTGCCATTCCAATCCATATGGCAAAGGATTCCTTTTCCTTGACTCCCGTGGCAGTCCTCAGTGCAATGCCTGATTAATTAAGGCCATGGGCAAGAGGGAACTACCCTGTAATATAGGCAGAAGTTATTAGAGGAAGGTGTTGTCAAGCCTCCATGGGGTAACGGTGATCACTGCACACTTTTAGTTTTGATATCATAAAAGAGTTGTTCCCTTAGGGACAACATAGTAACAACAAACTTTAAAAGGGCAGATTATAAAACTATGAGGAAAATGGTTAACAGCAGGCTGAAGGGCAAAGAGAAGTACTTAAAAACCACAGAGATCTGCCTGGAGGCTATTTAAGAACATTGTATTAGAGGCACAGATGGTTTGTACACCTCTGAGCAAAAACATAGCGTACGAGGAAGAATGAAACTCGCAGGGTTATGTGGGAGAAAAGCGTGAGTATAGAAAGGATGAAAATGCATCCCTTAAAAATGACAACTGTCTGAATGACAGACTAGGAAACATTATCAGGAGAGTGGAAAGAGCTGGAAAGTGTCAGTGCTAAGAAAAAGACTATAGCAGCTGCTGACTTTGGAT